GATGTGAGGCAATGTTCGTCTCAGTGACTGAGGTGACAGTACTACAGGAGCCTTATATTTACCTATATTACTTTGGGGGTTCCTTTTTATGTTTATAGTATAATGGGCCCAAAAACCCTACTCTAATTCTTAAGGCTCCTACATGAAGTTCTGGAGCTCGTTATGCGGAAGATCTTATTGAAGCCTCACGCGTCGAGGGACAGGATGAGCAGGAACCATACGTTAAACCCTAACCTAAGCCCTACACCCTTAACCCTGGCGATAGAAGCTGCGAGACTCAAGTCCAAGGCAAGCCGACAAGCAGAAGGGGGGTGAGGAGGCTGCTGGTGAGGCCGCCGACGGTGACAAGAAGCCCGAAGGCCATCCCGAGTGCAGGGTGTAACTGTTCTTCGGAAGCAGTTTTCATGATAGGGTTTCGGGTTTAGGGTTCGGGGTAAAGGGTTTAGGGTTTAGAGGTTTAGGGGTTAAGGGTTTAGGGTTTAGAGTTTAGAATAGCAAGCTTTCGCTATCAATACCAACTTACATGACATCGCTCAACAAGAGCCCTTAAAGCCCTGACGCGAGTCAAACCCTACACCCTAAACCCTAAACCCTAAACCCTAAACCCTAAACCCTAAACCCTAAACCCTAAACCCTAAACCCTGGCTGGGCCTGAGGGCGCTCTGGGCCATTTGGGTCATCGAGTTTCCAAAGCCCTCAACCCCGAAGGCCCTTGATTCACCTAACCTGCCACCACTAGGGTTGGAGGTTTAGGGTTTAGGGTTTAGGGTTTAGGGTTTAGGGTTTAGGGTTTAGGGTTTAAGGTTTAGGGTTTAGGGTTTAGGGTTTAGGGTTTAGGGTTTATGGTTTCCAGCACCACCGGCACCACCCGCACCACGACCAACAAAAGCTACTGTAGCAATAAGATCCGTCATTTCTCAGCGTGAGGGAAGGCACAAGGAATCTGAAGCTGAATTCCAGGTCTCACGGCTTCGGATGTATATGCTTTGGTGTTTGAAGCAAGCTGCATTCAGGTGCTTACGAATCGCATCTTGAGCCCTCAATTCCCAGACTCGGGGCCTTGAGCAACGAATCCCGAAGCCGCATCAAAGACTGAAGGTTAGGCACAGAGCAGTGTGCCCAGGTAGAACCTTAGGTAGCTGGGCTCTGCCCGAAACCCTACACAGCATCCCGAAACCCCGTAAACCCTTAACCTAAACCCTGAACAGCGGAGCCCCTAAACCTTAAACTAGCAGCCGTATTGTGGACGCCTAAACGCTTAAATAATTGCCAACATTATTTTGGGCGTTCATTGTTATAAGTATAGCATGATTAACTCCCCCAACCCTGTTCCAAGTATTTAAGACCCCCATCTTATTAGCCTGTTTAGAACACCTTGAAGGAACCCTGTAAAGGAACCCCAATGCCCTATTCTAGTAATCTAAGACCCTTACAGTAAACTCAACTCTCTCTGCCCCAGGTTGAAATTCTTAGCCCTGAGCCTCAGAACCCGCAGCGCCCTAATTTAGTGGCCTAGATAGGTTTAGGGTTCAAGGTTTAGGTTATACTATTTTTTTGGGGGGTTTCCTATGATAATTATACTATAATATACCCCGAAACCCTATTCTAATTGTTCAGGCTTCTACATTACCTCTGATCAGGACGCCGCAAACCTAACATAGGGGCGTTTGAAGAGGGCTCAGGGTTTAGAGCTTAGGGCTTTGGGTTTAGGGGCTTTGGGCTTAGGGGCTTAGGGGCTTAGGCTTTAGGGTTCGACATGTTTAGGGTTCAGGGTTGTGAAGAGGGCTTTGGGGTTTTATAGTATCGTGATAGTAAAGAAGGCTTATAAAGCAGTGCTGTTTGAAGTTAGCTGCTTGACTTCTGTAGTAGCTTCTTGATCCTTAAGCCGAGCCCAGAGTCATCAACTTCTCAGGGGTTCATCAAATTTCACAAGGTGTTATGGGGTGGAAAGGGATTAACAAGTCACTCTACGGTTTAGGGGTTCAGTGTCGGGTCCTGCACCCTAAGCCCTGAACCCTAAACCCTAAACCCTAAACCCTAAACCCTAAACCCTAAACCCTAATCCTACACCCTAAGCCCTACTGTCAAGATTTTGAAGCCCCCCTAGCTGCGGAGGCACCGCAGCCGTCCCCGCGGACGAGATGAAGGCTGCTTGTGAGAAGGCTGGGTCTTAGGGACCCAAAAAGCACATAAGCATAAGCTAATTTGGGACCATATACTACTAAAGGGTACTTTAGAGGAACCCGAAGTAAGGGATCTACGTCATCCACCGTAGTGTTTTTAATGATGCGCTTGGGGCTTGAGCTCTAGGTAATTCGGGCCCCCGAAAGCACATAAGCATAAGCTTTTTATAGGGATATCCCTACCTTATTGGGCTTCGTTGTGAGGGGATTTATATGGGATATCCGGATCCTAATTTTTGCTTATATGCTTTTTTGGGGCCCTAGGGTCTAGGCTCCATGGCTTTGGGCTTAAGGTTTAGGGTTTAGGGTTCAAGGTTCAGGGTCTAGGGTTCAGGGTTGAGGGTTTAGGGTTCAGGGTCTAGGGTTTAAGATTCAGGATTTAGGGTTTAGGGTTTAAGGGTTCAGGGTTTAGGGTTTAGGGTTTAGGGTTTATGGTAAACCCCCAGAAAGTTGGAAACCGATTTAAGGACAATTAGTGCTGAGATTGCTTATATATTACTCTCAGAGATTGAGGCTATTGGGTTTCCAACTTTTGAACCCTAGGCTCCATGGCTTTGGGCTTAAGGTTCAGGGTCTAGGGTTCAATGTTCAGGGTTTAGGGTTTAGGGTTTAAGGTTTAGGGTTTAGGGTTTAGGGTTCAGGGTTTAGGGTTTAGGGTTTAAGGGTTGAGCGTTTCGGGTTTAGGGCTTAGGGTTTAGGGTTTAGGCTTACATTCCTAGGGCCTGAAAACTTCGACTTGGGTTCCTTTTTTCAGGTCTCTCAGGGGTACGGTAAAGATTATCAAAAAGCTTCTACAGAGGCTTAATGGTTTAGACCCTAAGCCCTAAACCCTGACACAATCGAGGCCTTAAAAACCATCATAGGGTTCCCTGAAGCAGTTCCTTTGGAAGGAATTCTTAAAATGGCTTTATAAGGTTTTGATAAGTGTTACTATTAGGGCTTAAGGGTAGAGCCGCCTCAATAGTTTCTCCACAGGGTTTAGGGTTTAAGTTGTTCAACAGGGTCTAGGGTTTAGGGTTTAGGGTTTAGGGATAAGTATATTGAGAGCCCTAGGGAATAGTATTGCTCATTGTTCCGGCCTGTTCCGCACTGCTTATTAAATGGATTCACTGTGGCAGCACGAGTACTGTTGGGGTTTAGGCTGCAGGGACACACAAGAACACCATCATGCTAAGGTCGTTGTAGCCAGAACAATACACCCTTAACCCAAAGCCCTAAAGCCTAAAGCCTAAACCCTAAATCCTAAAAATCAATACGAAATACGACGCCGCGGTCTCGACCTTCCCCTGCTTCAGGCTGGAGCAGCCCAGGCAGAAGCACGAACCAGCCACCGGGCAGCAGCTCACGGGGGTTTGTAGGGTTTTAGGGTTTTAGGGTTTAGGGTTTAGGGTTTAGGGTCTAGGGTCTAGGGTTTAAGGTTTCGGGGTTTGGGGGTTTAGGATTTTGTCTTGCCGCAGGGGTGTTTGCAGTTTTGTTTTGCTCCGT